TTACCCTACTATGGTGGCTTAATTTTCATCTTCACAGCCTTACCCCACCATCAAATAATAATTCTCAAAACACATTGTACAATCAAATCAAGATCATCATAATTTTCAATACATAACCAAATCAACATCATCAAATTCCAAATCAAATGTCTTTCCTCGCTATGAAATGATGTAGATCTATATTGGATGGGTTACACTGGAGAGATGTTGTGGTAGTATCATCCCTTACAAAAGCATGTTTAATGTGCTTGACTCTTATTTTGATATGTTTGAATGCGCACACAGAATTAAAGACTATTTTAATTCACATGAAATGAATAAAAAACATCATAATTTGAAGATGGTCAATGAAAAAAAATCCCTCAAAATTACAAACGAAACAAACATAAATCTTTCAAGCAAACTCAAGGAGGTGGTTTGTTGGTGTTTAGCCATTTAAGGTGTTTTTGATCTATCTTAGTAAGTAATCTATGGTTTTTCAGGATGTGGGCTAATTTTTGAATTCAGGCTCTTAGGCAGGTGGTTGTTTTAGATAAAAATGTATTACTCTGATCTATGTAGCTTTCCATTCACTGGAAACGAAGAAAAACAGATGAGGATGTGAAATTGAAAATTTTAAAAAGAGAAAAAAATGCCTTTCTTGGCTAAGTGTTCGTGTCCTTATTTTTCACGTAGAATACAAGTGATCATCTTTATCCCTCTAATTTCAATATTCTTTTTATTTATATATTTACATACATAAGTTGTTGATTTACAGATTTATCTCTCACTATGTTATGCTCTAATTGCTTTGGCTGCGGGAGCTTATCTACATATTCTCTGGAATATTGGAGGCCGGGAAGCATTGTTTGGTTGCTCTCAACCCCTCCATATGAAGAGGTAGGCATCTCTTTCTTTTGTGTTTTTTTGCACTATTTGTTGTCATTTATTTGTTTTGCATACATGATTTTAATTTTGAGGGTTTCACTCTTGATAGCGGCTGCACTCTTTGAAGGGGCTTCAATTGGTCCACTTTGGCTGCGGGAGCTTATCTACATATTCATTGTTTGGTTGCTCTCAACCCCTCCATATGAAGAGGTAGGCATCTCTTTCTTTTGTGTTTTTTTGCACTATTTGTTGTCATTTATTTGTTTTGCATACATGATTTTAATTTTGAGGGTTTCACTCTTGATAGCGGCTGCACTCTTTGAAGGGGCTTCAATTGGTCCACTAATTGAATTGGCTATTGAAATTGATCCAAGTTAAATGTTCGTTCTATCTACTCTTTTACTTTTTTAGTGGTTTTGATAATTATTTGTAATTGTGTTTCTTTCTTTTGGTTTCATGGGTTGTTCTATCAGAGGACTGTTCATGCAAACCCTAACAAGAACAGAGTCTTTGATCATCGAACCATTTTCTGGTAATTGTGGAAAGGGGCTTCATTTCTTTGACATTTGAGCCTTGGGGGACCTACATCGTGCTCTCTCTCTCTCTCTCTCTCTCTTAGGTGATTTTTGTTGATTTACATAAATAAGTATATGTGTGTGTGTATGTGTGTGTCAAAAAATATACCTTTTTGTTATATAGGTTTGTTCGGAGATGTGTTTGATGAATTGGCTCTTCACACAACTACGTAACAATCTTTAGCTACTACTTTTTTCGTGAACCGTATAGTTATATGTAAATAAGGTTTGTTGTTTATATAGAATTTTATATGTTAGCACTTCCCAATTTGATGTGTTGGTTTGATGCTGAATAATATTGGGGAGCAATCATGTGTGTATTGTTTAAATGTGTTTTCAAATATAATTATTTATTTATTTATTTATTTTGGATATGCAATGATCTGAGACATAATTTTGGATGTGAAGAATGCATGAACAAATGGGAGAAACGGGGAATTTCTTAAGTAGGTAGGAGGGTTTTTGAAAAGTGTATCAAAATGTATCAATGGTTGAGATGAATCTAAGTATACCTACCAATCAATTCTTAACAATGGTCAGATACCGATTATTCTTTGTTTTTCCTTTTCCCCTCCCTTTTTTGTCTTTTGTTTCCTAGCTCTTTTTTATTTTTTAGATAATTGAATGAAGAATTCTGTTCGAAATCAAAATTACAGCGTTGATAGGAAATTGATTGACTTGAATACATGGAGAAACTGAGCCTAGGCGCAAAACACTTTTCCTGATGATGGTTTATCAAACAGACTTATGCCACTGGGACTCAAGTATGTGTTCCAACTCCAAGGTTTTTTTTTTATTATTATTATTTTTTTCAGTTGGCCTTCCATGTGTTTTGTATTAGCCACAACTGGTTGCATATGAAATGCTTGATAAAAAGATTTAGTTAGAAGGATCATTTGCTGATAGATGTATTATCATGTGCAACATGTCTCCTATTTGGAACTCTAAAACCTTTGGACACTGGAGAAAAGTCTAATTTCTATATTCAAACATATTATTGTGATTTGTGAATAAGGTACTGCAAATCCAAAGAAAAATCAAACACTAAATTTTCATTATTGATGAGTTCGTTTTTTAACTTTTACATTTGATTCATTGTTTTTAGATTTATAGATGTTCAGTTAGGTGATTTTTGTATAGTTAGTTCAGTTTATAGTTATAGTGAGCTTTTGAACTTTTAAAAATTGGTAGTGGGTTTTGTAATTTTTAGAATTTCTGTTTTTGTTATGTTGTACACAACTTGAGACAATAAAGAGCCAAATAAATGGGAAAATTTCTAACCAGACTGAAACAAAGGAAGTGTGAATACTGGAATTTACTGTCAAAATTAGTTTTTAAAGTCTCACTCTGGTATTTGTATTAATGAAATTGCCTATTTATCGTGATAGAAATATTAACTTGAAATTTTTGTTATTTGGTTTATAGTTGTGCAACTTGCTGTCACTAGAATGTTGTGTTGAACTTTTTGTCCATCTCCTTCATGACCTTAAGGGGCTTCAAGGTTATGTACATTTTTAGTGTTATTTTAGATTGTTTATGGGTCATTTAGATTGGGCTCCATATTGTTATTATTAGAATTCCATTCTCCCAAACTCACAAATTTTTGAATTAATTTAATACATTTTATTTGAATTCCATTCTCCATAATTAATTAGAACACCTCCTCCACAATTAATTAAACTCATCTCATTCTCTCTCTCAAGGCTCATTTGTTTATTAAACCCATCCAAGCACCAAGAACTTTGTAATCCACCCGAGATATAATCGGATCTATATTTGAACTGGTTGTGCATTTGGGTTTGGATTTGTGATTTTCATTAAGTAAGTTATGACTCTCATTCAAAGCTTAAACTTGAGAAACAATGGAGTTCAAATAGGGAGAGAGAGATGTAGAGGAAAAAAGAGACAGAGCTCTCTGCTAAAAAAACTCGATTAGGTCTGCTTTCCTTTTCCAAGAATAGTGTTGTTTTTATATTAAATTGATAATCTATATAATAAGATGGAAGGGTTGGGATTACAATTATATTAAATTGATAATTTACTAAATAGTGTTGGGATTACAATTATATTTTAATCCCAACATTATTAACACCGTGCCTTCAGGCACGGGCATACGCTAGTATATATATACAGGACTATTTTGGTCATTTTGACTAAGCTTGTCCTTATGGACAAATTATTTCAACACTTGGACCTTTGTCCAAACAAAATTTAAGTTTAGATTTATAGACCGGGTGCCCTTTTTAATAATATAAAAGAGTGTTGAGCACAACAACTCAAGATGTTTCACTTTAATATATAGATTATTTTATAATTACTATCATTTTGTAACTAAATATAGATATAAAAAATATGTTATATATATATATATATATATTTTCATCTTGTTTTCACCTTTTATACTAGTAAAAATTAATATTGTGTTGACACCCCATTTTGACCAGCTCTAAGACTTGATTCACATGTCATATATTAAAAGCTGGATCTTTAGTTGCATTTCATAACTGAATTGCATTAGGATCTTGGATATAGGATCATGCATATTTTTACTAACTTTGTTTTGTATCTATTTGCAGGATGTCAGTAAATATGTAAGTTTTCATGTTTTATCATCCAGCTTGTGCGTGTTTTTCTACTATGTTTAGCATTCTACCATGTGGCTAGTTGCTTATTTGATATAACTCCATGCATACCAGTGGATGAAAGTTGTGTTATTTAGGTTGGAATAAAATTGATTTTTCATGATTGTACTATTCAAAATATTTTGAAGTAATGAAATCAAATTATTCCAAAATGGATGGCACAGTCTATATTTGTTTGCTTCACATAGTAAATTTTGAGATTTATTATTAATAATTGGAATATGAACACATAAAGTAAATAAAATTCATATCATGACTTAGTAGAGGCCGATCTTTTGATCGGGTAAGCGGGAATGCTCAATTAATGACCTCCCTTCATATCTAAGGTTCCGAGTCATGTATCCTTGGTTACGATGAATAGTGGCCTTGGCACGAGTCATGAGTTTCTTAATTTTCACAAAACATTAGGTGGTGACTCTGAGATTGGATAACACAGTCCATTTCTGGCAAAGATCTTTTTAGTAAAATAAATTTCTATAAAAGTTGTCAAATCTGGACTCTCATCTACATTTCACATTTCATTCGCAAGACTAGATCGGAGAAATCGAGAGTTCGAACTGTTAATGCGCGCAGGTACCCCCGGGCGGTGTTACATATTGTAATCCATACTTTATTTTTAAAAATTTTGTTAGTATATATATGTGCGCCCCCTATATGAAAATTATGGATTCGTTTAATTCTACAAAGATCCTAATAAAATACTTCCTTTCTAACTATAGTATATCTTCCTTTGTAATTTCTCAATTCTCCTATAATGGCTTAATCTCCTATATCATTATGAAATTCAACCTTGATTTCCTTCATATAAATCCATCCATCCAAACAGAGCCTTATCCTTTAGATATTTATGCTACCAAATATAGTTACCAACAATAAATAGCAACTATATAAATGCTCTCTATCAATATAATGAGGTACTTATAAGAGTAAACAATCACTTTATTATACCAATTTGGCTTATAAAAATATTATTTGAAGACATGTCAAATTCAAAGGCTAACAATGTCTATGAAAATAAAATACAACCTTCAATGTACAACATCCATTTGGTTCTCTACCTAAAACAAGCAAAATTAAAACATCAACTGAAAGTATTTTCCCAGGTAGGTTTAAGTGGGTGAAGTAGGTGGAGAGTAGGTGGATTTTAACAACAAGCAAAATTAAAACATCAACTGAAAGTATTTTCCCAGGAATTTATGCAACCTTCTCAATTTAAGTCGGAGGGTGGTTAATATGACAAATACAAATTTTAATGCCTCCACTGAGAAGCAATTGTGCAAAAAATCCATCAACCCTCATCTCCAAACTCCTTTGTAAATCTCTCGTCCACCTCCAAGTCCGCTTTGCTTACAGTTGGCTTCTGTTTCAACAACACTTTGTCAAAATTACTTCTTGTGATAAGCGGTGGGAGAATCTGCTACATAGTCAATTACAAGTGGAGCAATAACTAACTTTCTGATTAACAAAAAAGGAGAGAGTTTGGCTGAGTATTAAAATACTATCCAGTTAGTGATCATCTGTTTGTGGTAAGTGACAAAATATATCAGACAAAGAGGTGTGTCGATATTACTAGAAGTAAGGTTGAGAATTTTCGACACGACACGATAACATAACTCAAACCATATACAAAATTAGCGAGATAGGTTTGGGCATTTTTCGACATGAACACGAATATGACGCCACCCAATAACATGAATATTAAACAAGTTAGATGCCGTAGGGATTAAGGCTTTGTGATTAGTCAAAGAAGGGACTGGGAGATGTGGCGTGTGCTGCCATGGTGGGATTGACATTGACTGTTACTATTGTTGTAGTAGCTATTGGTTTTCACTATACTCCCTAAGACCATTAATTTTGGTGACTAACCGTGCGAGCTTAATGTGACTCTGTCAAGATCTTTCATGGGGCAGACTTCCCCTTCGTCATAGTTTTGGTTGAGTGGCTATGGTAGTCACGACTATGAGGATGTGAGATGCCTAGTGGGCGCTCTGTTTTTATCCGTGATTGAGACTGGGAGCACGTGGGGGCGATTATCATTGTTGATTGGTCTTAATAGTTGTTTTAGCTTGTTTACCCTTGTCTAAGTAGGTATTCCATTTAGGTGCTTTCTTGTTTTTTGTGGTTTCATCTTTATATACTTGCCCATATATCTTTCCAAAGTTTCCATCTATTATCTTTGATGATAGAGGCAACTTGGGAAAATAAAAGATATATGGGCAAATGAGTTCAAAATTTACCCATGTATCCTCCTTGAGTTCCCATCTTTCTCTTTGATAGTCTGTGTAACTAGGGGATGTAGATACTTGGGCGTTATTTTGTGTAAGAACTTGCGGAATGTGAAAGGGTTGTTATAGTTGTTTTAGGGTGTTTTATCTTTGTACCCCGCTTTGGTGGGGTTTGTTATTGTTTGGTGTTTTGTGCATCAGTCCCTTCCTTCTTGGAGGGTGGCATTAGATTTGGTGTATTACCTGGGGTATACCTGTTTGCACCCATTTTCGTAAATTTCCTATCGATAGGTGGACCAATTGAGTGATGATACGTGGCAATGGAGTCAAAGTGAAAGCCTTCCATTGATCAAAGGGACATGTGGCGTGAAGAAGGTGATCATGTGCATGAAGTCATAGAAGTAACCTTGGAGTAGTTACCAACCAGTTTGTGGCTTAGTGGGTTAGTTTGTAGAAAAAGGAAAGTGCAAGGTGGGAGTTTCTCTCTCTGTTGATGAAAGGTCCAAAAGAGTGAGAGGTGCGTGGTAACTTAAAGAGGAAGCAGCTCGACAGACAGAAGTGAAGGCTTAATGTGATTAGAAGGCCTAGAAGCCAAGAAGCAGTTGTAGCAGTTACACAACAGCAGTTGTAGATTGAGGAGATCATGGAGGCGTGGGAAAGAAGTATAAAGGCCAGAAATTTGCAGAGAGAAGGACATGATCAACAAAACAAAGAACCAGTCTAGACTTAGCATAATCTAAGAGTAGCTTTCTTAGTTTAGGAGTAGTTTCTATCTGTAATTTGTATCCTCGTAAACATTGGAACTTTAGTAGTTTCATCTTGGAATTACTTGTTGTTTGTTTTGTTTACTTTGTAACTTCCAGCTATTCCAAAGAAGTCCTCATCCTTTTGAGACATTTGAACCAATTCCATAATTGCCTGATTGTTCTTGTTTGATTGATTAGTTAAAATTATTGTTTAATTCCTATTGATTAGGAATAAGCACAATTTTTACTAATAATTTTTGGCATGCTTAGTGGGACGTATCTAATTTGGAGTTATGGCGATGAAGAAGCAAATTACTGCTTATGGAATCATGCCTTCAAGTGGCATGTCTATGTCTTATGCGCCCATGGATGCAAACCGCCAATGGAATGTTAGTATTCCCATGGGTATAAATTATCAATGGAATGTCTCATCTTCCATGTCTAAAGATTGCCAATTTTATGGTAATGATTTTAACACCTATTGCCAACATAATGGCATGATTAAATACATGGGAAGAATGATTCAACATTGTAAAGATGAAATTTATTAGCGCGGGAATGAAAGATTTCAGATAATTCCATAAGGAGAGAAATTAATTCTTTTTTATCGGCAAAGATTTCAGATAATTTTATCATCTCCATATTATTTGATGCAAAGAGATTTAAATTATTTTGATGAAAAAATTCATCAACTTGAAGGTCAAATTTACCAAATTGATGAAGAAATTCCATATTGGGAGCATAATTTAGAAGGCTTAATGGCCAAGAAAAAAATTAAGGTATGAAAATCACATGGCTTGGGAGGCTAATACCCATATTCCCAAGGAGCCAATTATTTGTGAAAAGCTAAGGTATGTGACTCGAAGGGTTGGTACAACAAGTCATGAAGGATTTTCATAGGCCAACAATGGCTAAAATAGAAAAATAGTCTCTTCTCTCAAAAGATGTTAAAAACCCATTACAAAATAATGGTGAAAATACACTGGGAGGGAGGGAGGGAGGGGGGGTGGCATGAATTTTTACTAAACATGACAATGAGTGACAAGCCATTAATGGCTGAAAAAGAAAAACAGACAGTTTTGACAAAAAATTATGAAAATCTATCACAAAATGATGGTGAAAATTTACTTGGGGGGCATGATTTTAAGCCAAACGTGGCTGAAAATCATGATCAACCCGCATTTGTTGAATTTGAATTTTTGGCATTGTTTGTTTTGCTAAAAGTTGTAATTTTCTATAACTATTTGATATTATGGTTTTTGTTATCCAACGACCACCATGGGTTTGTGGTTCACATCAAAAATTGATTTTGATAAATTGGTTAACAAAAATAATATCTTATTCTTGTAAGTTTGATGGAATAAAAAATGGCCATATAAAACAACCCAGGCCAACCAATAATGGCCAATGACCAATTATTTATGTTTTGAATGAAGGCCAATTTAATGGCCAGTTGTTTAATGTTGACGCATCGACAGAAGGCTAGTATAAGGGCTAATGGCCAATTGATTATACTTTGCATGAATCGACAGAAGAAAGAAAAAAAAAAAAAGGTATATTTTTTCTGATTAATTATGGTTAGGTTGCTGCCAATTTAATTTTGTATACAACTCTTCAAGAATTCTAGTCTTTTCATTCTTAAAGAGTTAGGGGGGGGGGATTGTTTGCACCAATTTTCGTAAATTTCCTATCGATAGGTGGACTAATTGAGTGATGACACGTGGCAATGGAGTCAAAAGTGAAAGTTTCCATTGATCAGAGGGATAGGTGGCATGAAGACGGTGATTGTGTGCATGAAGTGGTAGAAGTAACCTTAGAGTAGTTACCAACTAGTTTGTGGCTAAGTGGGCTGGTTTGTAGATAGAGGAAAGTGCAAGGTGGGAGTTTCTTTCTCTATCGATGGAAGGTCCAAAAGACTGGGAGGCATGTGGCAACTTAAAGAGGAAGCAGCTCGACAGATAGAAGTGAAGGTTTAATTTGATTGGAAGGCCCAGAAGCCAAAAAGCAGTTACAACAATTACACAACAGCAGTTGCAGATTGAGAAGATCATGGGGACGTGGGAAAAAAGAAGTATAAAGGCTAGAAATTTGCAGAGAGAAGGACGCGATCAATAACACAAAGAACTAGTCTAGACTTAGCATAATCTAGGAGTAGCTTTCTTAGTTTAGGAGTAATTTTTATTTGTAATTCGTATCCTTGTAAACATTGGAACTTTAGTAGTTTCATCTTGGAATTACTTCTTGTTTGCTTTGTAACTTCCAATCATTCCAAAGAAATCTTCATTCTTTTGAGGCATTTGATTCAATTCCATAATTACCTGATTGTTCTTGTTTGATTGATTAGTTAAAATAGTTGTTTAATTCCCATCGATTGGGAATAAATATAATTTTTACTATCAATACCCCTTGTAAATGTGCATAATTCTTTGTATTTATTTTATGACTTAATCACCCTAAAAAAAAAAAAGAATAATAATAATAATTTGATATAGATAATTCATTTAATAAAAAATTAGTTATGCATTTTAATTTTATTTCCATTAAAGGATGTCATGACATTTTTGAACCCTAATGTAATTCCCTCTAACTGAATAAAATTAAGTAAAAAAGAAGATGAGTATTACCATCTTGATGCCTTAATGTTTTTCTTCTCTTTATTCTCATTGGCTGCACCATCATGTCAATTCTACATCATGTAAAAAACTTCCAAATACCAGAAAATAATTAAATCTATGTTCTTAGTACCTTAAAAAACTACAGATTGTAAGACAAAATAACATTTTTTTTCTTGCACAATGAAATGATAGCGAGTTTGGAATAATGATCAAATGCAACCTAAGTTTTGAAACCAATCCATACCTTCAAAGCTAGTTCCTATGCTGCAAGCTCCTGCATGTTAATCTGAACAGCACCCGGCACATGGCACCTACACATGGCACCAACACATCATCCGAAGTATTTTTGAAGATCTCGGCATCTTGAGTTTTACGAACAGTTTCAAACAGCACTTCATTTACCTATCATATGACAAACAATGGTGAGACAGCTACATGTTTGCAGTCACATAACAGAAAAGTAAATAGGAAGAACATTTGAGTTACGAATGATGTAAGCTTCACACTTACACAAATGGAAATATCTGAACCTGAGAAGCCTTCTGTTTTACGTGTGAATTGCTCAAAATCGCTTTCAGTTAAATCGTGAGGAGTATCCCCTAAATGTACATGATAGCCATTGTTATCAAACTGTGAATCGAATCATGAATTGTTTTGCAAAATAGTAAATCGTGAATCGTATC